AGCCCTAGTGGGAAGGAGACAAAGCTCCAGACTGCACTGAACTCCAGTTCCGGGTGAGAATCTGGGAATCCAGATTCATTGTGGGGAAGGGGGCAAAACTCAAGGGCGCCTTTCTCTCAGAGGTACTTGCAGCGAATACCGAAGGACACTGGGGGACACTGAGACTCAGGAACCTCACAGGGCAGGACTGATGGGAAGACAAGGCTATAGGCTCCATGCTGAAACCACCCCATCCAAGCTGAGCACAGAGGCTTTTGCAGTTTTGCAAGTCTAGTTTAATAAGGCTGTCTCTCAGCATAGACACAGTTGATCCTCACAGCCTGGAGGTCAACTCCTTCCACTGATACCAACAGCAATCAAGATTTAACTACAACAAGGTTGTACACACAGTCCACAAAGGGGGGCACCAAGATTGTCCACCAAGCCACTGGCCCATATAGGACACCAAGCACACAAAGCTACCCTACCAACTCAGGGAAGCAATTAAAATGCAGAGACAAAGAAACAGATCACAAATGAAAGAAATGGAGGAAAACAAATGACTGGAGATAGAGGTCAAAACCACGGTTATAAGGTTTTTTAAGAATTTCCTAGAAAAGACCAATAAATTTAGCAAGGCTTTCGAGGATATGAGAGAGACCCTCGAGGATATGGAAAAGGACCAACTAGAAATTAAACATTCACTGACTGAAATAAAAAATATTATACAGACATCCAACAGCAAACTAGAGAAATGCAAGAATCAAGTCAAAAATTTGAAATACAAAGAAGCAAACATCACTCAACTAGAAAAGCTAAAAGAAAAAAAGAATACAAAAATTTGAATTCTTTTGAATAGTGTAAGAAGCCTCTGGGACAACTTAAAAAAAAAAAAAAAAAATATATATATATATATATATATATATATATATATATATATATATATATATATATATATAATTGATTTTTTACAGAGAGGAAGGGAGAGAGAGAGAGAGAGCTAGAAACGTCAATGAGAGAGAAACATTGACCAGCTGCCTCTTGCACACCCCCTACCGGGGATGTGCCCGCAACCAATGTACATGCCCTTGACCAGAATTGAATCTGGGACCTTTCAGTCCACAGACCGACCCTCTACCACTGAGCCAAACCGGCTTCGACTCTGGGACAACTTTAAGCATACCAACATCAGGATTATGGGGGTGCCAGAAGAAAAAAGAGAGTAAGATACTGAAAACCTATTTGAAGAAATAATGACTGAAAACTTTCCCTCACCTGGTGAAATAGACTTACAAGTCCAGGAAGCACACAGAACCCCAAACAAAAGGAATCCAAAGAGGACCACACCAAGACACATCATAATTAAAATGCTAAGAGCGAAAGACAGAAAGAATATTAAAATCAGCAAGAGATTTTACCTACAAGGGAGCATCCATACAATTGTCAGCTGATTTCTCAACAGAAACTATGCAGGCCAGATGGGAGTGGCAAAAAACAGTCAAATGATGAATAGCAAGAACCTACAACCAAGAGTACTCTACCCAGTCAAGCTGACATTCAGAATTGAAGGTCAGCTAAGGCAGTGTTTTTCAACCGCTGTTCCGCGGCACACTAGTGTGCCACGAGATGTTGCCTGGTGTGCCGTAGGTGCAGACAAGACAAGAATTTTATAATTTTTCACTATTTTGTTTACTTAATATTTCATAATAAAGTAATTATAAAATACTTTCTTTGTGTTTATTTGATTCCTATTCAAGAGAATTACGTTATATACAGTCAATATAGGCACAGAGTTAAATTTTTTAACATTTTCTAATGGTGGTGTGCCTCGTGATTTTTTTCATGAAACAAGTGTGCCTTTGCCCAAAAAAGGTTGAAAAACACTGAGCTAAGGAACTTCACAGACAAGAAAAAGCTAAAGGAGTTCATCAACATCAAACCAGTATTATATGAAATGCCGAAAGACATTAGAAGGAGGAGGAGGAGGAGGAGGAGGAGGAGGAGGAGGAGGAGGAGGAGGAGGAGGAGATAAAAATTATGAAGAACAAATACATATCAACAAGTAAATCTAAAAGTCAAGTGAATTAAAAACCTGATGTACAGAATAAACTGGTGAATATAATAGAAACAAGGACATAGAAAGGGAGTGGACTGACAACTCTCAGGGGGAAAGGGGTATGGGGGTGTGGGGACAAAAACAGTATACCTATGGATGAGGACAATGGGGGAGGTAAGGGAAGAGGGTGGGATGGGAAAGGTAAAGTTTGGTAATCAGTAAATCAGTAAGAGGATTACCAAATTAGGAAATTGCCTTGAGCCACCACTATCTCAAGACGAACAATCCATGATTAGCATCAGACCTGCTAATGCCCAATGCCCTTGGTGCACTCTCGTGACAATATCGGGCAAGTGGTGACTTCCCACATTTGGGATTTGTTTAAAACCCTTGTCATAGAGTTTGGTTATGAAACACAGTTCTCTTCTGGGCAGCTCAGTGAGTGCCGTTTCCCACTTAAAAATCATCATCATACCAGCACACATACAAACACAGTTATACACACAGCACACACCCCAGGCACCACACACTATCCTACACACGGCACATCCATACCCTACAAATAATAGTCAAACACAGGGCATTTATTTAGCTTCAGAAAGATTAACTGCAATGATTGCCAATATGTACCTAAGGGATTAAAATAAATAAAAATTGAAAACATGAATTTTATATTTTAGTAAAAATACTCAAACTGTGGTTAAAACTATTCAAACTGTGCTAAAGGCTGTAAGTAAAAGTAAAAATCTCCCTCCCGCTGTGGATACTCAGTTCCACTCCCCAATAGTCTTTGGTTGCTTTCTAGAAATTGCAGCAAATACTTTTGTATGTGTGCAAAGATATGTGCATTTACAGTGTGTGTTTGTGTGTGTGTGTGTGTGTACAGGGTGGGGCAAAAATAGGTTTATAGTTGTGCAGACATGAAACAGTTTATTCTTGTATTGTTATTTATTAATTATTGTGTTACTAGAGGCCTAGTGCATGGACTCATGCACATTGAAAGGAAATTAGAAGGTGGCTGGTAGGTAGAACCAGACAGGACAGGCTGGACACGCCCTGGAGCCAAACCCCCAGGGTCCCTCCCTGGCTGGTGCACCTGGGGTGGCGCTGGGGCTTGAAGGGCGTCTGTGGAGTGAGTGGGTCCCTCTGACAGGTAAGGGTCCTTCAGATTGGCCTGTGGGGATCAGGCTGAAACCAGCAGTGCGACATCCCCCAAGAGGTCCCAAAGTGCAAGAGGGCACTCTGCAAAGTTGCTGTCGCTTGGCAGTTCCTGTGTTGACCATCTGACCCATGGTGGTCAGTGCACGTCTGGTCAGCCGATTGCTTAGCATTTTATATATACCGAATATAGATTTTTCATCTGAACAACTGTAAATTGTAAACCTACTTTTGCCCCGTCCTGTATATAAATGCTATGTTTTATTTTTAAAGTTGATCACCCAACACTAGTTAAGCTATTAGAATGGGAGCCAGCCACAGCCCTCTCTGCCCTGGATTAGCTAACAAGCCTTTCTGGTACCTCTGCTTTTCTCACTCTGCAGAGCCGGTGTGCCTGGCCCCTGCCCTTGCTCTCTGTCTGGAAACCTCTGCGGTGGCCTCTGAGCTTGTCCTTTGGTTGAGGCCCAGGATCCCCTCCAGCTGTTGGGGAGGCCAGTGTCCTCTCTCGTTGGTGTTCAACTCCTGACCCTGCGAATACTGTTTTGTCAATAGCAGGAGGTGTTTCGGGAACACATTATGCAAGGAAATCATTTCCTCCAGCCATTCACTTTTAACTGGTCACTCTTATTTGCTTCAAAAGTCAGTCATGTGAGAAGAGCTATATCTGGTACCTCTGGTGGTGCAACTCACACACACACACAAATCACAGACTTTTTAAAAAGGAAGTTATATTAAGCACTTCAGTTAGCAAGAATATTAGAATTGGGCAAAGGTAAAGATGCATATTTGTACTTAAAATAACCATTGAAATATTAAAAATGATATTATTTAACATCATTTTTCAGAGACTCAGAACTTTCAGAAAAGCTTTTTTATTCATGAGCTCATGGGGACAATCTGAAGTGCTTTGTAAATGTGCCTGTTGCCCTGGGTAAGGAGACCCAGGGGGCAAAGTTACCTGCCCAGCCCCACAGCACTGGGATGTGAACTCCAGCCGCTGCTCATGGATCGCTGTCCGACTGTAGGCAGCGGACACTCAGCCTGTGGCTGGTGTTAGGGCCGGTGCACAGTCCTGGATGTGCATTAGTGTCAGGTGCTTTGTTCAGAAGTAATGCGAGTGATTTTTAAACCATAATGTACCATAGTTCAGAGAAGCAACTATACAATATTGGTAATTAAGCAACTTGTTATAAAGGCAGTTATTTTCAATAACATATCTAGCTTGATGCTCTAACTTTAAATTGATAAATCTTGTCTGTATTATTGAAAAACTAATCTTATAAGGTTGTGTGTGTGTGTGTTTTGGGGGGGGGGGGGTAGGGACAGGTACCCTAAGATCCTGAAAGATGACACTTGGCTAAATACTGAGATTTTTCTTTCTTTTTAATTAATTGTTGTGTTTAGTTAAAAATGTGTAATGACTTGAGAGCATGTCCTGGCCTAATTCTTGAAAAACGTACTTTCTCCAGCTCTCAGGCACCTGCCAGCCTGTATTTCCAGACTGCTGAGCAGTATAAGGCGATTCCACAGGTCCGCTGAGCTCCGTCTCTGCCAGGGTCGCAGGGAGGCGCGGGTCTGGCAAGTGTTTCTGTCACTGCCTCTCCTGAAGCGGTTTCTGTGGAAAGGAGCTCTGGTTGGCGGGGCTGGCGGCTGCTCCCGGTTCAGGTCGCACAGGTACAGGTGTGCGTTTCGGGGGCGCTGTTAGCGCCGAGCCGGGCGCTGTGGATTCCTGCAGGGCTCGACGCCCGCCCGGAGGGAGCAATTCGCCCTGCTGGCCTGCAGCTCTTTTTTCTTTGCTGCTGACCAGGTCCATGGATGAAAGCCCATCTCTGAGGCGCAAGACGGTGATGCGGGAGAAGGGCCGGCGCCAGGCCGTGCGGGGCCCGGCCTTCATGTTCAACGACCGCGGCACCAGCCTCACAGCCGAGGAGGAGCGCTTCCTGGACGCGGCCGAGTACGGCAACATCCCGGTGGTGCGCAAGATGCTGGAGGAGTCCCGCACCCTCAATGTCAACTGCGTGGACTACATGGGCCAGAACGCGCTGCAGCTGGCCGTGGGCAACGAGCACCTGGAGGTGACGGAGCTGCTGCTCAAGAAGGAGAACCTGGCGCGCATCGGCGACGCGCTGCTGCTGGCCATCAGCAAGGGCTACGTGCGCATCGTGGAGGCCATCCTCAACCACCCCGGCTTCGCGGCCAGCGGGCGCCTGACGCTCAGCCCCTGCGAGCAAGAGCTGCAGGACGACGACTTCTACGCCTACGACGAGGACGGCACGCGCTTCTCGCCCGACATCACGCCCATCATCCTGGCGGCGCACTGCCAGAAGTACGAGGTGGTGCACATGCTGCTGCTGCGCGGCGCGCGCATCGAGCGGCCGCACGACTACTTCTGCAAGTGCGGCGACTGCACCGAGAAGCAGCGGCGTGACTCCTTCAGCCACTCGCGCTCCAGGATCAACGCCTACCGTGGGCTGGCCAGCCCGGCCTACCTGTCCCTGTCCAGCGAGGACCCCGTGCTCACCGCCCTGGAGCTCAGCAACGAGCTGGCCAAGCTGGCCAACATCGAAAAGGAGTTCAAGGTAAGTTGGGCGCCCCGCGCGGCCGGAGCGGCCTGCCTGGCGCCTGCCCTGCTTTGCTCCCAAACCAGCGTTGCTCCAGGGATGTTAAGTCACCAGGGGTCGGGAGCATTGTTTAGAAGCGATCTGATGCTTTTCCCTGCTCAGCTTGGCGCTGTGAAAAATTTGTTTTCTGGACTGGGATAGGCTGGATCCGAGGACTAGGATTTTTCTGGGTAACCATTATGTTCACTTTTGCCAAATGAAGGGATTTGGCTTGAATGTCTCTCTTCCCAGTTCTCCCCCCTCTTGTGTAGTTAGTTGGATGGTGGGATCCAGCATGCAAATAGGATTAGTTCACTGCTTATTAGCCCAAACATTTAGATCGAAAGTCAAAAGGCTAATATAAATGCTGCTAAAGTCATTTCATTCATCTGACCAGGATGCCTCTTCCCGAAACCCACAGATGTGTATTCGGCAGGCGACTGTGGGACCCAGACACCAGGTCAACCAGAAAGGCAAGGGGTCCAGTGTTTTGCTTTAATGGATTTTTGTTGTTGTTGTTTCTGGACATCATCTCCAGTTAATCAGTGTTATTCATTTTTACAAAAATTACACATTGATGGAGAACACTGTTATTGTTGATTCAGTTGCTCAGTCCTGTGCATTTTGGATGGCCAGACAAATTAGCCCGGATGAGAGGAGATGGCGTTAGCGGTGGATAGAGTCAGTAGGCGGGTTTTCAGCAGGGCCCTATCTCTGGCTCTCCACCTGAGGTGATGGTACTTTGAGCTCCAAGTTCCAGCTTTGAAATGAAAAAATAAAACAGATAATGTGCTACCTAGCGAAAAAGAGGTGTTTTTTTTCCCTTTGTGGGCACCTATCCTGGTTCAGTTCCTTGAATTATTTTGTGGATGTTGAGTTCCTCTGCTTTTCAGGTCAGTGTTATGATGGCAGACTGAGGAATAACGGTTATTCTGTCTTTCAGATCTTAGTGCATTTTTTCATGCTTCAGTGAGATTTACACAAATGCATCTAACAGTATAATTCAGGCCAAGGGGTTGTAAGAAAATGGAAAGTTTGATGGGCCTTTTTCCCCTTCTATACACACCAAATTCTTCCTTATTGGCCAGCTCTCATCTTGTGCTGGCAGGGCTCTGGCGTAGGGTAATTTTATTTGTTATTCCATTAAAATATTTTTCCGGTATAAAAGCTACACATATTTATTATAAACATTTTGGAAAATGTGCGAACATACAAAGAATAAAATAAATATTTACCTTATATCTAGTACCTTTGAAGAGATTCGTTATGTAATATTTGAAAGACTTATTTCCTTGGGCACCAAATGAATTTGTTTTAGACAGATTTCAGAACATTTGAAAGCCTCAAATTCTCTTTAGTGATAATAGAAAAACATTCAGGTAAAGTAGTCTAAATACTATTTTTTTATTTTGGCATAGCAATAAAAATATAATTCTAAATTTGTTTGCCTTTCAAATATCACTCAACCTTTTTTTTAATGTGTTTTGCTTGTTATCCATTGAAAGTCTATAAAAGAGATTCTACAAAAGGGAATATGTTTTAATAATTTGCAGAAGATAACGATGTATGCAATTCTGCCCAGAAAAGTTATCTCAATAAAGCCATGGTTGAAAAGTCTGTCATTTTTTGCTTTCCCCTGAAGGTGGTGAAATCTATATTGATAATACTTAGAGTTCCCTTTACTCTGACTACAGTCACATCTGATAACCTTTCAGAGGTGGGGAATATTGCAAGTAAAGGGGGAAGGAGAGGAGAGGGAGAGGGAGAGGGAGAGGGAGAGGGAGAGGGAGAGAGAATGAATAAGAACAAGAACACAATTGAGTTTAAGAGGGCATGCATAAAGCTACCAGATAGCTAAGGATATGTGGAAACCATCTAAATCTCACTGTGCCTTGATCTGAATTCTATGGAAAGCCCTTGGGTGGCATAGCCTTCTCTGAGTCATGGTGTCCAGGGACGAGTCCCCTCCCCTGATTGCATATTCCTTTTCTTCCTTATTCTTACCTGTCCTGCTGTTGCCTGGTTACCTGCCCTCCCCTCTCCTCCTTGACCTCCTGCCCCACACTCATTGCCCATCTGCCAGGGCCTTAGGCTGATGGAGAAAACAGCTTTCCCTGCTCTGACCCGGGGCTTGGCTGGAAGGGGCGGTGGAGTGACACTCATCGCGGAGGCAAGCAGCTCACCTCATTTGCCCTGGTTCGTGGTGTTCTCTGTATTCTTTCCACAGAGACTTTGAGCTCAAAGTACCAGCTTTGAAATGAAAAAATAGACAATGTGCTGCCTAGCAAGAAAGAGGTGGTTTTTCCCTTTGTGGGCACCTATCCCTGTTTCATCACCATCCCTGAATGGCCGGGAGATCTGGCATCTCGCCCCACAAATCGCCACCACTCAGGTGCTTGAGAGAAGGCTCCCAACCGCTTTGCGATTTCCAGAGCTTCTTGAAGAATGCGGGAGGCCTGGTGCCAAAAACACGCGAAGGTCATTACACCAGGAGGCTGGCCACGCTCAGATACAGACTTAGAAAAATGAAGGGAGGACAGCGTGGTGACAGGTTATTACAGGCGGATTTTGGGTGTGCAAATGCTGTCTGTAGCTATTCCGAGAGACAGCATCCTGGACAGGATGGCCTCTGGGTCTAATCCTCCGCGTGTCAGAGGCAAGCAAGCTAGTCATTTATGAAGCTGTGAGAACACAAAGTAAAATTTCCTAATTCTGAGTCAGTGGTGCACATTTTTTTTTTTAAGGGCAAAAAAGCCTTTTGCCCTCCCTGTGCCTCAGTTTTCCTCTCTTTAAAGTAGAAGAGCAATTTCAACTATTCCCACATCAGGGCTGCCGGGAAGAGGAGAATGAATATAATCCTGAAGCAAGGTAGCATTTGATGGCAGGAAGATGCTCTAGGAATCATCTGAATAGACTCTCATTTTACAGAGAAAGCAAGGCCTATAGCCAAGATTCCATCTGCCAAGCCCAGATGTGGGAGTTGTGGGTCCAGTCCTCAATACTGGTATTCTATCTCACATGCTGTAAGTGGCATATTGAAGCCCTTCTGTAGTCCTTGATGTGTACCAAGAACACTGAGCATTTAATCCACACAGTAGCACTGTTAGGCAGGCTTATTCTCATCAGAAAGGCTGAGTAATTTCTCAAGATCACATAGCAATGAGTGGTAGAAGTAGTGTCTGAACCTAAGAAGTCTGGCTTCAGATTGACACTTTAACCACTGCCCTCTGTTACGAGGGCAAGGATCAGACAGGGCCCAGCCTACTTAGAATTGAATTTACGCTTTCAATTAGGATAGAAGGGATTTTGAAAAAGGTTGGAAGAGAATTAGAATGATGAGTCAGCCTTACAGTTGCTATGAGTGCTGAAACCTGGAGACAGGGCATGATGAGGATGGAGCGCCATTGTTCTTTCTCTGGCTTGAGCAGGTCCTTGGGCCTTTTTTTTTTTTTTTAAATTACCTTCACCCAAGGATATGTTTTTATTGATTTTGGAGAGAGAGGAAGGAAGAGTGACAGAGTGAGAGAGAGAAACATCAATTGGTTGCCTCTTGTATGTGCCCCGACTGGGTACATGCCCAAACCCTTTTGGTGGATGGCACAATGCTTCAACCCACTAACCCACTGGTTAGGGTGGTACTTGGGCTGTTGAGTTCCTGCTCTGCCAAGTGGACAGCAGGTCCATCCCATAACTTTGTGGCAGGCCCAGATGATGGATGAGTGGCATGATGAAGATGATTAAGCAAAACTAAATTAGGGGAAAATCATTAGGAAATGCAGAGCAGTTGGTCTCAGTGAAGGAACACGAGGCAGCTCCTCCTGGTGATCAGAGCAGGCTGGTTCCTTTTGCACCTGGGAAGGGCTGTCTGTACCCCCTTTATTTGCAGGGCTCCCATGTTCCCGGGGGCTCTGCAAATAATGAGACATGCCATCCCATGACCACAGTGAAAGAAACGCCCATTATCCAGCTCTGACTGTTTTCTGTGCTGGGTTCACAGACTTCCCCCCAAGAAAGGTTTCCATAGTTACGAAAACACAGTGTTGTCCTTGTAACTTGTGTGACTGATCTCTCAGTGGATGTGAATAACCCACATGACTTTCTTTAAGACTTCACAATGTACAGATTACAATGTTTTAAGATAATGAGCCATTATTTAGGTATTACTGCAAAAGTGGTTCCCACATTTTCTTGAAGCATAGGAAATAGTCTCTTTTATTTCTGCTCAATGGGGCAATGGCTGTCCTATATTGTACCAAATCTTATAGAACAGTCTGAACTGAAGAGCCATATGAGGAAATTTCATCTAAAAAAATTGTATTAAAGGGGGAGCTTTCTATGGAAACAGACATGGATTTAATACTTCTGGAAGCTATTATATTTTATTAGTCTTTCAGGCATGGAAGGCAGACACTCTGCATAGAAACCAGCGACTGAACATTTTATTAATTTTATCAGTTGCCTGGTCCCAATCTGAATGGAAACCGAAGATTGAAGTTTTTATTCATTTTATCTGTTCCCTTATGAGAGGAGGAGGATTAACTGTAACTGTCCTTTATCTGGATTTCTGCTGTCTGCAATGGAAACTCTTCTCATCTGGGTAGCCTCTACACATTCTCTCCTCCTCTTGTTTATTTTGGTTGGTGATGTGATTTTTTCCCATCATATCATGTAAATTAATTATTTAAGGGGGGGAAAGTGGAGTTCCTCATGCCTTTTTAAAAAAATGAAATTAGAACACCTTTTTTAAAGTAATATTTTATTGATTTCAGAGAGGAAGAGAGAGGGAGGGAGGGAGGGAGGGAGGGAGGGAGGGAGGGAGGGAGGGAGGGAGAGAGAGAGAGAGAGAGAGAGAGAGAGAGAGAGAGAGAGAGAGAGAGAGAGAGAAACAATAATGATGAGGGAGAATCATTGATCAGCTGCCTTCTGCACACCGCACACTGGAGATCGAGCTCACATCCTGCGCATATGTACTGATTGGGAATTGAACCATGACTTCCTGGCTCATAGGTCAATGCTCAACCATTGAGCCATGCCAGCTGGGCCCTCATGCCTTTTTTTTTCTTTCTTTAAAGTATATTTTTATTGAGTCCAGAGAGAAAGGGAGGGAGAGATAGAACATAAATAATGAGAGAGCATCATTGATCAGCTGTCTCCTGCATGCCCCCTACTGGGGATGGAACCCAAAACCCAGACATGTGCCCTTGACCGGAATCAAACCCGGGACCCTTCAGTTCCCAGGCCAATGCTCTAGCCACTGAGCCTAACCAGCTAGTGTCATGCCTTTTCTTAAGGTATGCTTTATGGAAACCCAGATTAGGAAATTCTGCTGTGCAAAGTATTGTTTAGTTATTTGACACACAGTGTCTCAGGACACATCGAAATGAGGAATCCATTTTTTTCAAGGACACCACGTTAATCATCTGGCTAACTTCCTTAGAGTGCTATAATTTTAGTGAGAGCCATAGAAGTGGAACTAGGGTTTCCAGAAGTGAAACACTTTCCTACAATGGTTGTTGACACCTTGAAGTGAACCAAGAAGCGAGAAATAGAGCTGCAATCAGGAGGTAACGGGAGGTTGCCCGCTGACTTCCTCATACCAGTCCATGCACTACACACATGCAAATGGAAGGGGAGACACCCATGTGTGAGGTCTCTATTTCTAGTGAGGTGTTAGTTCCAGCGGCCTGGCATCTTTTCTCTCATGTATTGGTACTCTGCAACCCTTGGCACTTCAGTGACGTATAATCAGACACTTGTCTTCCTCAGGATGTGGGCACGTGCCCTGCAGACCAACAAAGGGAAATACCCCCCTTTCTGCTGGTCCCTGTCCTTCCCCACACAACCTGGCCTCCACACTAGTTATCCCCAGACATAAGATGTGTCAGAAACATATCAGGACCTCGGGGCTGGGTAGGAATGGCCTTCTGGTGCATGGCCAGGCACATTGAGGCTGCTGGATGAGGACCGACTGCACTTGCAGCAGCAATGCCTCCAGCAAGGCAGGAGATAGCAACCTGGATACGTTATCCCCACATGTGTTCTGTCTTCTATGTCAAATTGCCACTTTAGGAAAATCCCCATTTAAAATTTTTTTTTTGTTGTCTCTCAATTAGAAATAAGTAGAATAAAATAACTGATGTAAAAATGTTTTGTTTTTTTCATTATAGAAATGGTTTTGTTTTGGCTTTAAGAAAATGATCATATAGAGATTTGACTCTTTTTGATCCTTTGGCCCTTCAGCATCAGCATTTAGGCAACATCTCTTAATACAAACCAAGGGACTGCTGTGCGCAGCGCTTTGGAGCTGTCTCTCACAGTGGGCAGGCTGCAGAAGATCCTGGCTGTGGGTGGGAGGGGGTGAGTCCAGCCGTAGCAAGCCTCACATCCCCCGGGGGCTGCAGCCTCTGACCAGAGGAAGGAACTGCTTCTCCTCATGTACAAAGGACCCTACACCCTCCCAAGGACTCTGCAAATTCTCTGTTCTAATCGCCAAACCTCTCTTTCTCAGAATGACTATCGGAAGCTGTCCATGCAATGCAAAGACTTCGTGGTGGGCGTGCTGGACCTGTGCCGGGACTCGGAAGAGGTGGAAGCCATCCTGAACGGAGACCTGGAATCGGCGGAGTCTGTGGAGGCTCACAAGCACAAGGCCTCCCTGAGCCGCGTCAAACTTGCCATTAAGTATGAGGTCAAAAAGGTGAGTGGCTGCTCCCGGCCAGGGTGTTGGGATCCACATGGAATACCTGCTAGGCTCTGATGCCTGGACATTTCTCCAGTAAGGAGAATAGAGGTTGTGGTAAAAGATCCTTTTTCCTTCGTGAAAGGAATGAGTGAGGCACCCTGGTAAAGTGGGGAGTCAAATACCGAGCTTCTGATCCTCTCTACTCTTGATGGGTTGTGAGAACTGGGATAAGTCATAGGACTTCCTTACATTTCAGTTTCCTCTATAAAAGGCAGATAAAATTTCTTATCTGTCTCTGGGATTTGATGGGATTTCAATGGATTGAGATATGCCAAAGAATCTAAACTGCCCGTCACGATGCAATTGATAATAATAAAATCTGTTACTTGTACATGCTTTTGGAAGGGACTGTCACAGACTTTCTCAGGTTAATCCTTGCACCAGACCTATGTTATTATCCATTTTGCCTACAATATAGATCAGATAGATGATGATATTTTTATTCTACAAAGAAACTAAGGTTCTTCCAGCTTATGACACGTCTGAGGTCACAGATCTATGGAGTTGGTCATGCATTTGCCAAAAATAAAATTATGATTTTTTAAAATCTGGTTACTTTAACTGTTATGTGTATCTATCTGCTACTTGTATGGGGCTTTTAAATAATTCATGAAAATTGAGGTTATGATGTTTTACTGTAATAAAAATGTCTTACCCAGAATAACATATGTTATTATATGTTAGACAAATGAAATTGCTTTGTGCTTTTAAGAGATTTACAAAGAAGTAAGCTGTTATCAGTAGCACTGGTGTCATGCAGTGTGGCAGGGAGTGGAGGAGAGTAGGCCCCGGAGCCAGCTTGCCAAAGGTTCAAGCCCCCTAACCGGTCTGAGCCTCGGTGTTCTTGGTGGCAAAGTGCAGAAAACGGTAGTAACTATTCGTTCTGCTGGCCCCGGGATTGCTGAGCTGCTGCGGGCGACGTAATCAGCACAGGTGCAGGACACGGGGATTGTCTAGTGAGTTGTAGCTAATAGCATTTCTGCGTTATGACAATTCATTCTCAGAATGATGGCTCTTAAGCAAGTTCTGTTTTTAGTCATTGAAGACGGATTTCGCGTTCACTGCCTTGGTTCTAGTTTACACCGAAAGCAAGTGAGCGAGGGCTAGGCGGATGGGCAGGAGTCTTCAGGAGACGAGGAGGACAGCTTTCCTCAGCTTGCTTCCAGAGCTGATGCCCCAACAGAGCAGCTCTCCTCTGCTGCGGGTGACTGGCTGGCCCTGCGCCGAGGATGCGAGTCCTGCCTGGTAGACGCGGCCCCTTTCACACCGAGGCACCCACACCTGCCTCTCATGGGGCATTGGGGGAGGGGGCTAGGCCAGGCAGTCCTCTGACAGCCAGAGAGGATCACTTTCTACACACACACACACACACACACACACACACGTACACAATGCTACCACAATGTAGAGAACTTCTGCAGGTGATTTTCACGAGATTCTGGCCAGCCATCAATGACAGATCTCTCCTCTGTGTAACAGGACAGTGAAACTTGAAGTGAAAGCGCTTCTCAAGGCATTGCCAGTTACGAGATCAGATTGTTTTGGATAAGCTGGATATTAAGACGGGTTTAAAAATCTGTCTGGATTTCTGCATACGTCTTACAGTGTGCATCTCTTCTCTCGAGCACCTGAGAGGGAAGCAGTGATTCCGCTTGTCAGAGGTTCTCAGTCATAGCTTTGAAAATGTCCCGTGAGCAGAGACAGCTGTCTGCAGATGTGTATGCTGCCCAGCTGTCTCGAAGAGTGCAAGTCCTCTGCATGTCCATTTTAAATAAATGGGTGTGAAGACCACAGTGTAGGAGGTATCATTAGTAATAAACTTTTTGTCAGTCAGCTATCAGGAAATAACAGCCAAAAGAATATATGTGGCCCTACTTGGTATTGCTCAGTGGGTAGAGCATTCCAGTCAAGGGTACATGCCCAGGTTGTGGGCTCGATCCCCAATGTGGGGCGTGCAGGAGGCAGCCTATTAATGATTCTTTCTCATCATTGATGTTTCTATCTCTCTTTTCCTCTCCCTTCCTTTCTGAAATCAATAAAAATACATTTAAAAAAGATATATTAAATATGTACATATCATATATATATATACATATATATATATATATATATATATATATATATATATTTAAAAAATAATATATGTGAAACTGAAAGGAGAGTTAAGACTTTGAGATGTCCTGGTTTGGTTGTTTGATGCTATACAATGAATATTAGTTAAAGTCTTTGATTGGGAATGCTCATTTGGAAAATGTACAGAAGAACCCTACTCTGGAATGCCTCAAAGCCTCAGTTCTTTTTTTTTTTTCTTTCTCTCTCCAAGGCTGAATTGTTCTCAGCACTCACCCATCTTCATCCAACAAAGCGGGAAAACACCCACCCCCTCCTGATGCCCATTCCCCCACCTTTCCCTTCTGTTCCCCAAGGAAAACCTCCTCTCAGATTATGAGGATGCATGTCTCCCCTCCACTGCCTGTAATCCCTCCCCCAACACACACGCTGTGGCCCCGAAGTGCCTGTGGCTACATGAAAGGCATTGGGACTTCAAGATAACTTGATGTGTTACATAATTTTCCCTGCATAAAAATATAAACACATCTTTATTCACATCAGCCCATAATTCCACCAAGGACACCAGTTTTATGTAATTGCAATCTGCTTGGGTCCATAAGAGACTCAGGAAGTGTCTCCTGCCATCTGCCCAGATCCCTCCCCCCACTTCCCCTGGCTCGGGTTCTGGGTCTAGGACTCCTCTCTGGGTTCAGAGCTGCTGGAGCTCAGGAATCGTACCACGGGTTCAATCACACCTTAGAGATTCGATGGCATTTCATCAAGAAAACGAAAATATGAAAGATCTGATATAAGGGGTCTCAACATGAATTTAATGATTATGTGGGAAAGAACTTTCCAAAAGAAAAGCAGTAGAGGGAATAACAAAGCAAAAATATACATAGTTTGATCACATGCAGCCTAAAACCTTGTACATTGGAAAGATCTGGGAGAAATATTTTTCTCAGTTATAACTTACAATGGATTGCTGTTCTTAATATCAAACAAGCTCAAACAAATTTATGAGAAAATTTTCCAGAGCTCTATAGAAAAATAAACTAAGAGCTTGAACATGTAATTCACAGAAAGATCAAATGGCTAACAAACATTTAAAAATTTTCAAGTACCTTGGTAACAAAGGAAATGCATATTTCACCTCTCTTAAATACAAATACTATTTCACCTCTCTTAAATTATTAAATAATGAAAACTTATAATTCTTAATGCTGCTGATGAAATGGGCTATCAAATGCTGCTGGTGGGAAATAATGTGCTTTTTATCAGGAATTTTGAAGACTAGTCATCATTTCTAAGGAGTTTATAAGGGAAATAACCCAACTGGAAAATGGTAAATACTGTTACTGTTCATAGGGTTACCTACATCCTTCTACTATGAGAAAACAGAAGATGAAATTGGATATTTTTGAAAATGCATACAAGAAAAAAAACCCACAAATTATTTTTTTAAATTAGAATAAGGGACTGTTTGCGCGCGCACCCCCCCCCCCCAAGTCCTGAGTTCTAGTTCTGTCTGTCCATCTTCTGTGTGACTTAAAGAGGAATACCAATCCCCTCCACCCACAGGCATACTAAGACTTCTGCCTATTGCTAGTAGCTCTGTTATTCTAAGAAAGCCCTTGACAAAGCTAGGAGATATCAGATCTTCATAAAAAAGGGCTCTGAGGAGGCGAGGACATTTCCTCAGTTCCCAGCTGCTCTCCTCTTTCCTCCATGGTGGGATTAAGTGTAACTGGAATCAGCCACCCAGACATGCAGCAATATCTTATCTAATAAAATAATAATATCCAAATTAACCATCACTTCGCTATACCCACAAGCCGTGCCCACCAGCCAATCAGGAGAGAGTATGCAAATTAACCCAATAAAGATCGCTGCAGCCACAGAGAGAGCTGGAGGCTTGGGTTTCCCTGTAATGTAAGAAGCCAAGTGGGCCCATTGAAGGCTAGAAAGTTTCAATTACAGAAGATAAATAAATCCCAGACTCCGAGGCCTCCTTTTAAGTCCCTGGGGGGGCGTGGCTGGTCTGCAAACCACCACAGGCCCCTCGCCCAGGCCGCCCCACACCCCAAGGGAACCCCCACCCTGATCCGGGACACCCTTCAGGGCAAACCAGCTGACCGCCACCCATGCACCAGGCCTCTATCCTATCTAATAAAATAGTAATATGCAAATTGACCATCACTCCAACACACAAGATAGTGGCCCCTGTGTGGTCAAAGATCCTGCCCCTATGTGGACACAAGATGGCCACCACAAGATGGCCAGCAGTTGAGGGCAATTGGGAGGGACCAGGCCTGCAGAGGAGGGAAGTTGGGGGTGACTGAGTCTGCAGGGAAGGGAAGTTGGGGGGGAATGCAGGCTTGCAGGGGAGGGCAGTTGGGGGAGGACCAGGCCTGCAGGGGAGGGCAGTTGGGGGGACCCAGGCCTGTAGAGGAGAACAGTTGGGGGAGGACCAGGACTGCAGGGGAGGCCAGTTGGGAGGGACCAAGCCTGCAGGGGAGAGCAGTTAGAGGTGACCAGGCCTGCAGGGGAGGGCAGTTAGGGGCAAACAGGCTGGCAGGGGAGCAGTTAGGCATATATCAGGCTGTCAGGGGAGTCGTTATGGGGTGATCACGCTGGCAGGAAGAAGTGGTTAGGGGCAATTAGGAAGGCAGGCAGGTGAGCAGTTCAGAGCCAGCAGTACTGGATTGTGAGAGGGATGTCCGATTGCACACTTAGGCCAGATCCCATTTTGGAGAGGGTGCAGGCTGGGCTGAGGGACACAAACCCGTGCACAAAATTTGTGCACGGGCCTCTAGTAAACACATAAAGTTATTCCCAATACCAGCAGAGAAAGCTCAGAGGTGGATCCTTGCAGCGAGACACTGGGGAACACACATGTGGCA